TAAATACAATGATGTGTCTTACCTGGATTGAAGAGCACCTCCCGCCCTCCCTCAATTGCGTGCAATAATCCCGTCACCAGGTCAAGTACCGCCCGATTCTATCAATTAGCAGTTATATTAGTAGTATAGTTGTAGCACGAATGGGTCGACTCGACCGGGGAAGAACCACGCTCTCGCAGAATACCAGCGCAAAATAGTAGCTTAATGCTGCTGTGTTTCGTATGGTGAGTGTAGAGAACCGGAGACGCATTTTACTGGAAACGAGGCATTTCTTCTACTTTTAGGATATGTATGTGGTCTATGGTGCTAAAGCTATTTCGAAAATCGGCTAGCTCGGGAGGCTGGAAGTTGTTAAGTCTGCGTGCGAGACGATTCGTAATGACTTTCGAAAACAGCACGTGGACGCGTCTTAGAAGGGAAATTAGTCTGTAGTTCTTCAAGAGAGTATTTCCGCCTTCCTTGAAGAACAAGACCACTACACTTTTGCTCTACTCCGTAGTTGTGCCACCATGGAGGACGGAATTAATGAGCTTCTGAAGGACCTCACGGGTGACAACGTATCCGCATTTTGATTTGTAATCGAGGATGGATATCTAGATGTCTATGGGCCACAGCAACCACTTACCATCAGGTGGACTGTGTGCTCGCTTGTCACTATACCCTATAAAAAAAACACTTACGGTAGTATTACGTAAAGAAAAAGAAATAGCTAGAATACTAGATATATATTTATAATTATTTTAAAAAGTCAATGTAAGACAACATGCTTGACAGGTTGAACAGGTTGACAAACACCACGCTAGTTTTATTCAAATATTCATGTGACCGAGGCACAACACGAAGTAACGGGGACAAATTGCATACCTATTCAAATCAAAATTTAGATGATCTAAATAACAATAGTAGGTAATAGAGTTTTATTTATACTGCAATGGAATAAATTCCGAACGAACATTATCGCAAAGTACGTGTTCTTATGTGGTTACTTTTATCTCAAAAAAATTAATCAAGTGTGTGTACGTTTCAGCTCTTTGATTATATGACATTTATACTATGATCAAAAATTCCGCGGTATCTAATTAAACAATACCCAAGCATTGAAATTAAAGATTTTATATATAGTTATGTTAAATATTAGGTATTTTCGTATGAAATTAGCGTTTTATATGAAAAAAAAAGCAAAACGAAAGAAAATTTGTGGATTTATATTTTTAATCCATCAAAGTATGTACGATTGTTATATATGCACTTTCGCCATTTTATAAACCATTTCGCCATTTTATAATTCATTGATTCCTTTGCTGAAAATTGTGAGAGCGAGAATCAATAAAATATTTGAAGGCGGTTTTGACTACCTCATCGGAATGAACATTTTCCTTACAAAAAGCTGTCCAAACTCCGGAAAAAGTGGTAATCTGTTGGAGCAAGGTCCAGAGAGTATTGTGGGTGTCGGAAGTATTGCAATTTCTTATTTTCTTTATAGGGTAGGGTGTCAAACGAGCACTCAGCCCAATTGATGGTAAGTGGTTGCTGTGGTGTGGCCCATAGACATCTACATCCATCCTCGATTACGAATCAAAATGCAGATGCGTTGTCATCCGTGAGGACTATGATGGAATGCCTCTTTTCCAGTAAAAAGGGTCTTATATATTTTACTAAAATTACGATTAATATTTTAAGGTGTGCCAACGGGGAAACCTACTTACATAAACATTACCTACGTAGTGCTATTTTGAAGTTCGATATTCTTTCTTAATAAATCCTTAATATCTTTAAAATAAAAATAAATCTATGAAATTTCTTTTATACATATTGGTAATCCGCCCGGAATGGCTTACGTATGACTTCTGGACCTCTGAATCGAAAATATACTCGAATTGACTTAACCACACACACACAAAATTGCGTCGTCAAAGTCGGGCCAGCCGATTAGGAGGTGTTCAGTCATAGAATACTATAATACACAATAGAATGGCTGTCAACTTTATTTTGTACGAGGTTTGGCGTCGCCAAACCCGATTCGCTGTGTTGACAGACTGAATAAATTGACACATTTTAGACTTTTGATTAATGTTTAAGATCATCATTAAAAAAAATCGTTTAATTTTTAATACATATTTATTTGTAAATAGGGTGCAATTTGGCATTTTTTAAATAATTTGCATGTAACGTCAAAACACATCTCGTGTTGACATTTATACGTGTGAATTGACATGTTAGTGACATTTTAGTCCGCCCACTCAGTTGATTGATGAGTTCAGTCACCATGCTCGAAAGCCTCCCACGGTGCTAATAACAAAAGAATATAAAAAAAAACATTTTGTTTCAGAAAGTCGACGCTTTTTAATGCTATGTATATATTATATATGTATAAATGTAATGGAGTTTTGTAATTGAGTTTTCACTCCACTTCTTTTGTTCTGTTTTCACTTGAATAATCTGAAATTTTGCCGATGTATTCCAGAGATGTACTCAATCGACGACAATACAACAATTTAATGACTATGACCTATTGATAATACCTTATGATCAATGTAATGTTGTAGTTTTTTTTTACATTATGTCAAATTATTATTTTTTTAACAAAACTACGTTATGGATTAAAAAATGGTTTATGTAAACTTAGATATGTTAAGATATTGTGGTGGCATGGAAAATGTAAATAATTAGAGCCCACTTTAGATTTTTTTTCTATCGAGAAAATTACATGTTATCATGTTTTCCTTTTTTGCAATCCAAGAATCAAATAGTCAAAAAACATATACCGAAAATTTGGTTCGTAATCTTTAATAACTTAATGTGTGAAATAGAAAAATCAACAAATGTTCGAGGTATCACTTTAAACATTTACGTTAACTAAACTTCAATAACAAAATCCTAGTGTGGAGTCGTGTAAAGGATATACGCAACAAACTGACTAAACAGCTTTACACTTTAAATCTGTAATGACGTAGTTCTGCTTACCAAACTATAAATTGTTACGATCTTATTTATTTTATCGCTAAAACATGTTTAGAGTAATGGCAAATAAATTGTAAAGTATTACAAGGCATTATATTTCAAATCTGTTAACTCATTCATTTTCCGATTATAACAATAATAATAAATTTTATTGACATATAGATTTAACAAATTTAAGCATGAACAGTAAGCTAAACATCTAAACAATGTTCAAGATAAGATATACAAATATTTTCCGTTGGACCACAAACTAGGATAATCCTGTACCTTGGGGTCCGAAATGATTTACAGACACAATAGTAAGACAATAGCAATGAATTATATGTAAAGCACGGGACTGTGAAAGGGTTAATGGAATTGTTCCGCTATGTAGCTAAACTACACAACGTTGTCACGGTCTTAAGGCTAGGTATTTCGCAGAGACCGCGCTTTTGAGTTCTCTTAAACCATCTGAGGCATAGAAATTAGTGTTTTAAATTCTGATAAAAATATATACTATTAGTTAAAGATCTAGTCTAGTCAAAATCGCATTCAGTTACAAAATCTAAAGAACTTCACTCGATAAAAAAAAATCCCGAAGTGACCCCTTTTTGTATTGTTTTTTCAATATTATGACTAAACTACTAACATTTTACACTTAAATTTTGTACTCAAATAAAGCCACTTAATTTTTACAGACAAATTCGCAGAGGTTGACTTGATAAAATTATTAGATACCTCCTAAAAGCGCGAGCGCGGCGGCTCGGCAAGCCTGACCAGTCGCGCGCTGGCGCTTATGGACGAAGGATCCGTGTAGGTTTTCTCCGTGCACCAATAAATCGGTTCTTGACGAGTTCATATAATTGTTGTCACAGACTAAATATTGCGTGCTATAAATATAAATCCTCTGGTTTTAATAGTTATAATGAATTTCACTGTCACTGACTTTCTCCGCTAGCGTTGTGTGTTCACACGAAACTTAAAAACAGTTCTCTACTCATACAGTTTCCATACCTATCAAAAGCGAACTGGTTGTTAATTTTCTTTTTATTATGTAACTCTAATTTATCGCTATAATAAAAAAAAGTTTGATCATAAAAAATGCATTTGTAAAGTCAAATAAAAAAGTCATCCTACTGCTTATTTCTATACTGTGTTGCTGGTTGGGTCATGCAAGTTCACTGCCATATAGTCCGCGCGAAATAATTCGTGCGCGGCCGGGACAGCGCTAAATGCCTACTTTTGCAGGAATACATGGCCTTAAGCAAAAAATTCCACAATCAAATGAGTGTTATAGTCAATAATTCCCGTAACTAAGGTGCCCTGGCCATCTCGTATCAGTTTCCCTCTGTCTCTTCTTGAGACACCCACGCGACGATGTGGGGAAGTGGATATTTTAACACCGCTATTACACGATAAAACAATACAGTGCAATACAATACCCATATTTATTATAAACATGCGCATAACGTAGCTTAAGCACATAATATAGCTTTGAACGTTTTTTTCCTTTGTTATAAAATATTCAAAATACTTAGTATATTTTTGGCCAACAAAAATATTTGTAACGCTTTTGATTGATGCAATGATACACGTTGCCATTTCGTTGTAAAATAAAGAGTTTCTGTTTCCGGTTTTTCTGCAATCTTTGTAGTTTTCACCAAAATCGTTGATCAGTCTTTTTTAATTCTATCTCTTCGCGATACCATGTCCGTACCGATATTAGACATGTATGTACTGATATGAGATATATTAAGTATATATACAGTATAATCTCACTAATCCGGCATTATTAAAAACCAGAGAGCGGATTATTGGAATGTTCGGATTACTGGATTATAGAGAAAAAATCATAATGAATAAAATAAAGCATTTCATAGAGAGAATACATAACGTAATTACTTAGTTTAAAATAATCCTCAATTGAGGTCTACTTTTGTGCAACTTGTAGTCCTTGCTTAAAAACCTATTCTCGCATGTTTCAAAGAATTACAATATCTTTGGTAGATAATATGTCGTTTACTTGTTATGTTATGTTTTTGTTGTTGTTGTTGCCCATGTTATGCAGGTGTTGAAACAACTAAATGCTTCACTGGTTTAACTCTTACAGTTGTATTAGTTGTTGGCTCCAATATTTCTACAAAGCTTTCTTCTTCTTGTACTGTTTCACATATTTCTTCATCTGTCGTAATTTCTCTTTCTTCGATCCCTTCAAACCAAGAATTTAAATTTTTTTTACATGTCTTCAATCCTCTTTCTGATAGATTTTGTAACCAATCGGCTAGATATCTACCAATAGGTAGATTATCTTCAGGATCCCATTCTTCTGTTTCCTCTGTTTCTAACACCGCATTCATTGTGGGCCATAACTTTTTCCATGAAGATTGGATTAATTTAGATGAAATAGACTTCCAAGCATGAGCAAGAGAGAATACAACATCCTTCAAATTCAATTATATAAGGCTCTGCGTTATATCACCATCCTGTGATATAATATGGATCAGCATTTTATTTTTGTACAAGGTCTTTGCTTTTTGGATAAAATTTTGATCCATCGGCTGAAATAAAGGTGTGCAGTTTGGGGGTAGGAAGACGGTTTAGATATTCCCATCACTTGATTTAAGTTCTTGTTCATTTCAGTGGCCTGGAGCATTGTCAAGTACGAGTAAAGCTTTTAAGGGCAAGTTAGATCTTTTCATAAACTCTTGTCTTCTGGGACAAAGTCTTTATGATATCATTCGCTATATACTTCTTTCATGACCCAACTTTTAAATTGGTTCTTGTGCAGACTGGCAGGCAAATGATCGTGACAGCTCTGGGATTTTTTGATTCACCAACCACTATCAAATCCAATTTGTGCATTCCAGTAGCATTTGAACACGGCATGAATGTGATTCTATCTTTACTCACTTTACGACCCGGTGCACTTGCTTCTTTATGAATATTATTTCGAATGTTTTATTGGGCAACAATCTCCAGAACAGGCCACTCTCGTCTGCATTATAGATTTGGTCAGAAAGAAGTTCTTCTACTTTGTTTTTAAAATGCTGGTTAAATGGCTCTACTGCAGATTCGTCGCTTGATAATTTCTCACCCGATATGGTTAATAAACGGATACCAAATCGCTTTTTAAATTTATCCAGCCATCTACTATCTTTTGTTTTTTTTTTCTTAAGATCGTGTAAGTAGCACGCCCAACACCATATTCTTTTGTCAATTTGCACATGTTTTCTCGACTATCTAACTTATTTAAAATCTCCATTTTATCTTTCAAATCTACACTAGATTGTGTTTCCGTTTATTTGACATTTTTAACAACACACTAATCTAGTTTCAAAAAAACAGGTAAATAATATGCAGCGACCGGAGCGCATAGGCGTAGAGGGGCGAGGGAGGCATGGGCGGAGGTCACCGGATTATTGGACGTGTCGTGTCGGTCTAATATTGAAGTGCCGGATTAGTGAGATTATACTGTAATGCAATGGGTTATTATAATATTTTTGATATCAACGCACCCGAGCAAAAAGTTGGTAATTATATTACAGGTAAAATTACTTACTGTTTATTAGTATAATATATATATATATATATTATTTATTTTACTGTTTACCCTTGAATGCGTTGGAATATTAAAGTAATTGATAGGTATATCTAATGAAAGTTAATTTCTTATAGAATATGATTTTGACAATTACACTGAGTTATACATATTTTAGAAAACAAGAAATATAGAAATATATACATTACAGAAAACATGCCAAGGATATTGTTTCAGTAATATTAACTTACGGGATTATTGTGTTAAATTTCTCAAAAATGATGTTATAGCTTTACATGTACAATGTACTGACTTATACCATTTTTTTAGGAGGCAAAAATGAATATATTATAAACAAAGTTACTGTGTTATTTTAAAATAAAAGAGGCATAAAAGTTTGGTTTTTCAGTAAAAATCAAAATTATATTCTCTAAGTAATCGCCTACTGCTAGTAAACTTAAGTACGGTTCGGAACCTATGTAACGAAAGAAATTATGTCGTGTCTTATAATAAACAGCAAAATAAAAATAACATGAATACACACTCCTCCTGATGGTAAGTAGATGCTGTAACCTAAAGACATCCACATCTTTACTCAATTAAGAATCACAATACACATGCGTTGTCACCCCTGAGGACTAAGGTATAATGCCTCGTTTGCAGTGAAAAGTGTCTCCGGTTCTCTACACTCACTATAAAGCTCAGCAGCATGAAGCTACTATTTTACGCTGGTATTCTGTGAGAGCGTGGTTTTTCCACAGTCGAGCTGACCCATTCGTACTACAACCATAATGTAACTTTAGCATGGCTCTACCGCGTCAATAAATTATATGTAAAAGTTAATAAATATACAATGTGTTAATTTTACACTTGATCAAACGAAATGTGCGGATACTAGATAAAAAATTATCGGTAAAAAAATCGAATTTTTTTTATGTTAAACTATTTAAAAAATAAAAGCATTTTCATTTTCGAAATAAATAAAAGCATTTTCATTTTTTTGGTAAAATTCCCATCCTTCGGTTTTAAATTATTTTCTCTTTAAGTAAATCTAAAGTCGGTGTATTTTTTTCAAAGTAGTTTTATTTGAAAGTTAGAAAGATTAGCTAGCAATAAAATTAAAAAAAAAACCTACGATATCAAGCAGGAAAATTGTCAAAAAAATAATAAGATAATTTTTTTTGTTACAAAAATACTTTTCCTTTTAATTTTTGGTCTGTAACTTCAAAACTAATACGCTGCGATAACCTTTTTAGCATGTTTTATTAAACTACATAGCTTACTGTACAAGTTCTCCAAAATAACATGCATTCTATCTCTTTTCGTTTTTAAAATAATAATCATCAAAGAATGCCATCCGTATGTTGATTTGCACTTATGCGCCGCACCTACCTCTAATGCCCCATTTAAGCCTCATTTACATTCAGCCACTGCCACTGCTCCTCGCGCTGCCGGCAATACTTCGCTAAATACTGCCGTAGCAGGATCGCGGGAAGTGTGTATTTACACTCTGCCCTACCACTCACATCACTTTCGGCTTTCGCCTATGGCATACGTCGAAATAATTACAGTGTCCGCGCTGTGTCTTCTTGCAATACAAATAGATAGTAATGCCCCATTTACATTCAGCCCTGTTGGGCAGGGAAGTGAGCAGGGCAGCGGGCAGGGCAGTATGTAAACAGGCTACTCGCGCTGACACTGCCACTGCCGCTGCCACTGCCGATGATACTTAAAAACACCAGAGCGCACGAGGGCAAACAGCTCACCCACGAAATATTACTACAAACTTATGATCGGCGCGCTGGAACGGTATAGCGGTGCGACCGCGAACTTCTGTGACCGTATTTTGTGGACCGATGAGGCAAATTTTAACAGAACTGGTATCACAAATTTTCGAAACCTTCACTTGTGGATGCCGGAGGAAAAAAATCTCTTAGCAGTTCGGCCAGCGTCCTTTCAAATCTAATTTTCAATTAATGTTTGGGCTGGAATTATAAGTGATTACTTAATCGGACCATTTATTATTCCGTCAAGGTTGACAGGCCCAGCTTACCTAACATTTCTACGAGAAGAGTTACCTGACCTGATGAGTGATGTGGATCTACAAACAAGGAGCAGGATGTGGTTTCAACATGACGGCGCTCCAGCTCACTTCAGCACCATCGTGCGTGATTATTTAAACAAACTATACGGAGACAGATGGATTGGACGAGGCGGACCAGTAGCGTGGCCGACACGAAGCCCTGATATGACCCCCCTAGATTTTTTTTTGTGGGGCCACATGAAACAGATTGTGTACAGTACTCCAATTAGTACAAGAGAAGAATTGTTACAAAAATAATGGCTGCGGCTAGTCAAATAAAAGAAAATCGTACTGTATTAAAAAAAAACAGTACGTAGTGTGGCATTACGTGCAACTGTACGTATGGATAAAAATGGTGGTCATTTTGAAAATTTAATAAATCAAATCATTTTTCTACGGTTTTTTTTTTGTTTTATTCCATAATTTTGTCAATTAAATCATTATTAAATCACTTTTGAATTTTGTGCTCAGATTACCTACCTTATTTTTAGTGATTCTCTTAACAACGACAAGAGATAGAAACCATGTTATTTTGGAAAACTTGTAGAGTAAATCATGCAGTTTAATAAAACATGCTAAAAAAGTTACCTCAATGTGCTAGTTTTGAAGTTACAGACCAAAAATTAAAAAGAAAAGTATTTTTTTAACAAAAAAAAAATATATTATTATTTTTTTGATAAATTTCCTGCTTGATATCGTAGGTTTTTAATTTTTAATGCTAGTTAATCTTCTAACTTTTAAATAAAACTACTTTGAAAAAAAATACACCGTTTACTTAAAGAGAAAATAATTTAAAACCGAAAGATGGGAATTTTACTACTTCTTGCTAGTATCCGCACATTTCGTTTGATCAAGTGTAAAATTAACACATTGTATATACTTACAAATAAACTGTTTTTTTAATAAAATAATGTTAGATCCCATTATTGATTTATTTTACTTAAAATAAAGCCACAAAACAAAACAATCACGTTTACTAAGCACTTTACTATTATTTATTTACGCCAATACTGCGGTAATAGTTATTTACATGTTAGTTACACGCAACATGTTTTTGTATTATTGTGTAACGTTACTTTTCTGGTTATAAACAAGCTTGTAAATTTCCATACAAAAAAGTGTTATTTAATATATCTCTCTAAATTAAGCTAGAAAAAATTAAAAAAAAAATTACAGTTTATAGATTACTAATGTGACGCCATTGATTTATGTTTTTGTATAACTCAATGTGTGACGCAGTAAAGACTACGCATATTACCAGGTTTTTATTGTGGGCGTCAATATATAAGCAGAATCGGCAAATATATTATTGACTAGCTGTTCTCCGCGACTTTGTCCACGTGGAATTTTAAAAATATAGAATAAGGTTGACAAACGAGCAAACAGTCCACCTGTTGGTAGATGGATGCTATGGCCCATAGATATCTGCACTTATCCTCAATTAAGAATCAAAATGCACACGTGTTGTTACCCCTGAGGACTAAGATTGAATGCCTCGGTTCCAATAAAAAGGCTCTCCGTATATCAACACTCACCATACGAAACACAGCAGGATTAAGCTGCTATTTTACGCCAACATTTATAACGGTTATTTTTCATTCGTTTTAGTTTTTGGGACGAACCCTAATTCTATTTCTAAAATAAATGTAGTCTAAGTTACTCCTCATAACATCAGTTATCTGCCAGTAATAGTCCCGTCAAAACCGGTTCAGCCATTTCGGAGATTAGCCGAGACATCAGACAGATAGACAGACAAAATTTTTAAAAATTGTTTTTTTTTATTATAGGTACCGTATATACCTCAGATCATATAAACAACAGGAGATATGGCAAGGAGGCGTGGCACTTGCGAACGCATCTGGCCGCAAAGCGGCCTGATGCCAGTTTCGGTAATTAGTCGAGTGTCAACTTGTGACGTCTTCACTGCTCGTGATTTTTGACAAAATGCCGATGTTTTTGTGTGAATAAGTTTTGTACGGTGCATGGTAAATGCACGCTGCGTATGATGAGATAAGGTTTATAATTGGTTGTGTAGTATGTTCTGATTTATAAAATGCGAGTGTGTGCGCGATTGTGTATCTATTGCTTTTACTGATGTGCATATGTAGTAGTTGGCGCGTGGTAGGGGCCAACTGGAGACACTGGGTTCCGATACATTTTCAACTACTGAGCATATCTCCTTATTTCTTATATCTATGGTATATACTTTCATATACATTGAGTAAAAGGCCGTTATTTTGACATTACAAACAGATACTTTAATTTTATTTCTTAATATAGAATATTGGCAAAATAAAGAGCATCTTACGCCGACGACCATGTACTTGTGATTAACTGGGCATTATTAATAATGTCCAGACAGTTTGAAAAACGCCCGATATGAGTAGACAATACGATAAAAACTATTTAAATAATTAAATTGACCGCGCTTTATGTATAAAGTCCGTTACTTATTGGGCAGAGTAATAAAAAGATAGGTTAGGTTAAGTTGTTTTTCTTTTGATGTCACATATTTAACAATTAAACGTAATGGGAATAAAGATTTCATCAAAGGTATTTTTTCTTGTTAATGCAAGGGAAGTAATACTCCATTTACATTTTTAAACTTGTTAATTTACAGATACATTATTAACTTATTGTCCTAAAAGTGATTAACATTGTTATGTTAGGTAAGGTTATATCAAATTGCCCAACAGTTCGCAGCAATATTCATAATGACCGGACAATGTGATAAATAATGAAGTTTAAATCAGTAGATATTAATAAGGTAGCCCGATTTGACTTTACGTTATCCATATTGCCCGGGCATTATAAATAGTGCCCTGATTAATCACTTGTTCGGTCCATAACATAATATAAGATTCAAAAGAGGGGTGGGTGTGCGAGGTTCTTGCCAAATGCAAGTATATCTATAGTTTCTGGCTACACCTTTGGGAAATGGACATAATGAGTTTATGTATTTTTAATAATATTTAATATATATCCTACATTAGTCACCATCATTTTTTTTAATAGAATAAGGGGGACAAACAAGCACACAGTTCATCTGATGATAAGTGGATGCTGTAGCCCATCTACATTTAACCTCTATTAAGAATCAAAATGCAGATGCGTTGTTACCCCTGAGTACTATGATGGAATGCTTCGATCCCAGTAATACGGGTCTCCGGTTCTCTACGCTCACCATACGAAACACAGCAGCATTTAGCCGCTATTTGACGCTGGTATTCTGTGAGAGCGTGGTCTTTCCCCGGTCGAGCCGACCCATTCGTGCTACAACCATAATATGGCTCTACCACGCTACGAAATTATGGAGACACAACCAATAAGATAAAACACATTTTTTTTAGCTGTAAAGAAATATAGTGGATATAATCGTATCAAGTAATCACTTAGATATCTAAAATTTTTAGGTTATATAGAATATCATTTAATAAAAAGAATTTTATTATTTTTTCTTTTATATTTCATCTCTTAAAAAATTCGCAGCACTTATTTAAATTTTGGAGAAATTTAAAATGTCGCGGTCGATAATATAAGTAAGTAAAACCTAAGTTAAGAAAGTAAAAAGGTCGCTGAAAACAAATCCTTCAAAAAAGGGGAGATATTCAAATTAAGGGGAGTAAATTGGAGAGAATATAGTAAAAATACTCAAAGGTTAGTCGTAATCGGACGTAGGGTTCTGGAGTTTAATAAATTCTCTTCAAATATTTAGTATATTTGAGATACTAGAGGAAGGAACAAGTGGTAAAAAAAATTCACCAACACCGTAACAACACACAAAAACCGACTTCAATATAAATAAAATGATAAAATCATCAATTAATTCAAAGTAAATTAAATATGCATTATTAAGGTTAACTGGTCAGATTAGTCTAAATTTATATAGGAATACACGAGACGCACCAGCTTTTTGATACAAAAAAAAATTCTGTTCACTCAGAAAAAAGTTATGAGATAACATACATAAAAACATACAGTTGAATTAAGTACCTCCTCCTTTTTAAATTCGGTTAAAATTAGCCCGTTTGTCTGCGGTCACTAAAATTAACTGTGTAACGTTTTTACACAATATGGCTTCTAAATAAAACTAATTTTTTTTAGATGTTATTTGTTATATATAGGTATGTTATTGCTTTATATTACTGCCAGGCGTGGCCATTGTGGCAAATTCTTCCTACAATGGGGCAGACCTATGTCCAACAATGGTCTTTTACAGGTCAAAGAACAGGAAATTACAGAGTTTTTATTCTAATTATTTCATCAATATGATCATCAACATTACAGGTTACAGCCCTTCACAAGTCAACTGCTGAACATAGGCCATAGGCAAGGAACGCCACAAAACACGATCCTGAACCACCTGCATACATCGACTTCCTGCATGTCTTACCAGGTCGTCACTAAATCTTGTGGGGGGACACCCTACATGCCCCTGCCGGTACGAGGCTGCCACTCAAGAACTTTTCTTCTCCATCGGTTGTCAGTTCTTCGAGCTTTTTGGCCGGCCTATTTCCACTTCAGCTTACTAATCTGATGGGTTATGTCGGTCGCTCAGGTTCTACTACGGATATTTTCGTTTTTAAGTCTATCACGCCGAGAAAACCTGAGCAAAGCTTTCTCCATAGCTCGCCGAGTGAACGTTAGCTTTCTCATACGGCCTGCAGTGAAGGACCACGTCTCAGATCCATAGGTCACTGGCAACACGCACTGGTTGTATAATCTTTTGTATAAAATTTTGAGATGTGCCTGACGAGAAAACTTGTTGTAATCTCCCAAGGCTGCCCAGCCGAATTGATCCGTCGATAGACCTCTCGGTTGAAGTTGGAGTTACCTAGTCGGACTATTAGTCCCAGGTAAATATACTCGTCAGCAACTCCGAGCTTAGTCAACAACTAAGCATAGGTGTGAGTGTGACATGGACGCTACACATATCTTTTGTTTTGTCCATGTTCATCTTAAAACATATCCGTTTGGGAGACACTATTGAGTTCACGAGGTGTGCTTTGCTTAAATATTGACTATGTCTGAAGAAGCTAGTAACGGACATGTAGGCAGCAACTCTAACCGCTAAGAATGCGTTTGTTTACTAGCTAAAAGGCTGATTGCAAAATTTTTCGAGGTTTCTAACATAATGTAGAGTTGTAGAGACACAAAAATAAAAGAGAAACGTTAAAGGTTAATGCAACCCCACATTTAGGTAAGTAGGTATATGATAATAGTACGTTGTTAACTTTGATTGTGATATAATCAAATTTTGCTAATAACGACAGCAAAAATCTAACCATTCAATATTCAAAGTCCCGTTGAGAAACTATTTGGCATTATAACTAATTATGAAGGATTCAAAGTTTAAATTGTAGTAATACCTAATTGAATTTACTGTTAGACACTAAGGGACCGCTCGCGCATTTCTTACCTCCCATTAGCCTGTTAATTCAGCTATTTTCATTAACATTTAGACTATTATTATAGACCCGACGGTATGATTTTGTTCCTTTGGGAGAGAGGTAAAGTAACTACCTACTAGTGTCAGATGCTACTTGCGTAGACACTTTGGTAGCCTCTTATCTCAGAGATACCTCGTTTAGAGCCGGGTTGGTACCTACCACAGGCAGCCGAACTAAGTAAGTGGCACAAATATGAGTTTCTGAGAGATGACTAATATTTGTGCCATTTGCTGTAGAGACTATAAGTCCGTGAGGTCCACGTGCGGTGAAGTTCTTAAAGGAATTCAATCCGGAGTTCTTTCCACGCTCAAAGGCATATAGCCATTCAGTGAGGAAACGCAGCCAGCGTTTTTTAACACGATACCACGGGGAGTGGGACTGTATAATAATTTAAGTTATTATTAGTTTTAGTTTTTTTTTAATTAAAACTTTTTAATACGTATTGTAAATTTTTAATTGTTATGTTATATACTTAAAGTAATTGTGTATATTAATATTTTAAAAGAACAATACATTAACCACAATATCTGTAAACTGAAGCATGTTTACAGTAGGTACAACATAATGATGGTTTGCATTTCGCAGTGTGAATGTGTATTTTAATATCATGCAAAACAACAACAAAAAATCCAGTATGTACAACTCACCTTAAATTCTTATCTTTCATTCTATGTTTATTTACACAGCCTTTTTTGTTGGCTGTTCTAAAAGTACACAAACTTTCACTCGTGAAACGGAGTCCTTTTGAAAATTTGCAGCGGTAATTTGAGGATGATAATTTATATCAGAATAAAAACCGATACCTATTAAAACTTAATACACTTTTTACTTAGAACATTGTGATAGAAAATAAAATATTATGTAAGGGAATGTGCAAAATGTGGTGCTGCGAAGGAGTGGCAAATGCTACTGAGCTGAGAAAAATGATTTCGGTCGGTCGAAGCGGCGAGCGACTGCGTACGTCAGACGCGGCAGTCGGCACTCGGCCGCCGTGATGTTGCAGAACACATGTGACGGCCAAAGAGTAGATTAAAATCATTACGGTGTAGTGGCGGCTAGCTGTGACGTCAGTTTAGCGTCAGGACATTCACAAAATGTGGAGTATGCGACCTTACTGCCCAATGCGAACATGCTCCGATTGTATTTATCAAAATATTGATAAAACGTGTTACAGTATAACACAACATTTTTATTTTAAATAACCAAAGTTTCACAAATATATTATTGTAACACTGTGACTATTTTATTGAAGTAAGGTGACAAAAGAACACAAGATCCCCTGAGAGTAAATTGATGCCGTAGCCCATAGACACCTACGTTTATCCTTGTTAAAGAATTAAAATACAGATAGATGCATCGTTACCCCTGAGAGCTAAGATAAATGTCTCGTTCCTAGTAAAAATTTGTTTGTTGTAGGTTCGGCGCGAGAATACGGATGACATCAGTGTGTCATATTATCACTGTGCTGCCATCTAAGTATCCATAGATACCAGGCATTCCTGCTACATATGAAGACCTAGCCAGGCAAGCCAGGCTAGGTCTTCATATGTAGCAGGAAGAGTTGCTTAGAAAACGAACCCCTAAGTACTTTGGTATTAGTCGTCAAATGCTAATAAAAGTAGCCTTCTACAATGACTTGGAGAGACTCAGACTCGGGAAGTTTTTCCCATGAACCAATCTTACTGGGGAATAATTGATGGATGACCCCTACGCTGAAAGCTTGCTCAAAAGGCTGGCATACCAAGCTCTATAAAATATAAAAATATAATCAAGGAAAGTAGCAGTTGCTTCCCCACTGGAAAAATATATACATTCCAGTAATTTTTAAAACGGACAAATAATGGCGTTTAATGTATTCTCGGTATTACGGTGATTTGCTAATAATGTGGGTAATTAGAAAAAAAAATTTTGCTAAAGACACTATCTGAGGGTATAAATATGAAATTTCGTCTTCATAACTTCATTACTGCTTATGTAATCATAGACGACGGGAATGATTGACTCGACAATGTTGAATAAAATCGAACACCGTGCGGTGATTAAATTCCTAACTAAACAAGGAAAAAGTCAAAAAAATATCTATAAAGAAATTGTGGCCGTTTACCAATACTCTGTTCCTTCAGAGGAAGCATCGGAGATGACCCCCGCCCAGTTGTGCCAATTACAGCGGCCACAGAAGAAAATTTTACGTGGTAGAGCCATGCTGCAGTTATATTAGTAGTATAGTTGTAGCACGAATGGGTCGGCTCGACCGGGGAAGGACCACGCTCTCACAGAATACCAGCGTGAAATAGTAGCTTAATGCTGCTGTATTTCGTATGGTGAGTGTAGAGAACCGGAGACCCTTTTTACTGGAAACGAGGCATTCCATCTCAGTCCTCACGGGTGACAACGCATCTGCATTTTGATTTTTAATGGAGGATAGATGTAGATGTCTATGGGCCGCAGCAACCACTTACCATCAGGTGGACTGTGTGCTTGTTTGTCACCCTATTCTATAAAAAAAAATATGTGAAAATAGTTGAAAAACTTGTTTTAGAAGATGCACGTGTAAGAATCAAGATGTTAACAGAAATAACTAACTTATCCCTTGGTACCATATGAGTACATACCACATAAGTCAGTGCAAGATGGGTGCTGCGAATGCTTACCGCGCTTCAAAACAGGCGCGGGTCGACTGTTGTAGGGAGATTTTAGAGCTATGTGGTGACGAACCAACAAGTGTTATCGATAGGATACTTACAGATGAAACGTGGGTTTACCACTATGATCCTGAGTGTAAACAGGTGTCTATGCATTGGCATAAAAAGGGATCAGACACCCCAAGAAGTACAAAGTCACTCCATTTGCCGGTAAAATCATGGTCACAGTGTTTTAGGATTCCAAAAGAATACTATTGATCGGGTACACACTCGGGTACACTATTAATAAAAGGTGAAACCATCAACGCAGACAAAATTCAGCCACTATACACCGTTTGAGAGAAGCAATTAAAGAAAAGAGAAGAGGAAACAGGATTAGCTGACCAAGTGAGTGCTGTGGTTTTGAGAAAATTACCCACCCTTCATACTACCCAGATCTAGCCCTTGAGACTACTTTTTATTCCCAAACTTAAAAAAAGACGTTCGGGGAAAGAGATTTGCTAGCGACGATGAGCTGAAGTCCACTGTAAATGAGCATACCCATACCGAGAATACATTGAACGCCCCTCGTGGGAGTACCTATATCGATGCCAGACAAATCAGGATTTTTAAAAACTTATTTGCTCTATATAAGGGATTTGTATTCTCTTTGTAAGAGAAACGTCGCGTATAATCCCATGGGTGTCGTAAGAAGCGACAGGGAGAAATGAAACTGGAGATAACTCATAATCGTAATATTAGAAAAACTGGAGGAGGCCTATTTTTTATATAAGACAGGGTGACAAATGAGCACACAGTCCACCTGATGGTAAGTGGTTGCTGTGGCTCATAGACATCTACGAATATACGAATACGAATCAAAAGGCAGATAACCGTCAACCGTGAGGCCTGAGATGAAATGCCTCGTTTCCAGTAAAAAGGGTCTCCGGTTCTCTACACTCACCCTTGAGCGAGTTAATTCGTTCAAGCACTCACCATACAAAACACACGTTAAGCTGCTATTTTACCCTATTCTGTGTTCAACAGTGGACTTGTACTGGGTGTAATGAATGAAAATGATAATATTTAATGCACTAAAACGAAACGAATGGGTTTCAGAGTTAGTTGTAAATGCAGCATAGATTAAGCGAAAATTATTCGCTGAAAATCTATCAATTATTGCATTAAAGGCCTAGACGATCAATTATATTGCGCAATATTACGAATTGTGCTATATTATTGATCGTATAGGGTTAATATTAAAGATTGCGCAATGATTGAACGAAAGTTTGGGCGAGTTTAATTTTTATTGCACCATTTTTTTTGTAGGGTCAGCATTGCGCAATATTCTTTAGTTTGTGTTTCGTCTTGAAAAGGAGAAATTGCATACTCGAATGAAGGGTAGAGATCCATTAAAGATATTAATGCACCAAAACGAAACGAATGGGTTTCAGAGTTAGTTGTAAACGCAGCATAAATTAAGCGAAAATTATTCGCTGAAAATCTATCAATTATTGCATTAAAGGCCTAGACGATCAATTATATTGCGCAATATTACGAATTGTGCTATATTATTGATCGTATAGGGTGAACATTAAAGATTGCGCAATGATTGAACGAAAGTTTGGGCGAGTTTAATTTTTATTGCACCATTTTTTGTAGGGTCAGGATTGCGCAATATTCTTTAGTTTGTGCTTCGTCTCGACAAGGAGAAATTGCATACTCGAATGAAGGGTAGAGATCCATCAAAGATATTAATATATGTTAGATATTATAGAGACCAGTGAGCGTGAATACAGTAATACCTATTGCATTGTTTCGCACTGAGCTAGATAAAAAGAGTTCAGCATCAGCGCGTTTTTGACCCCATAATCAGCTGATTTCAGGTTTATATTTTCACTGCTGGTTTATGTTTAGGTATTTTCTTATTTTTTTTTTTGTAAATGAAATTATCGTTTCATTTAGCTGTACTAACATGATGGAGCGTGAATAAAGCTAATTAAACGTTGTAAAAATTTTTTTTTCAACCAGGATCGATTTTCATTTCGTCCAATCATCAAAGGTTTCCTTAGTACTATCGTCTGTCTTCGTTTTCGGGAGCGTTTAAAAAATAACCGTTTAATGATTACGTTAGTCAATAGGCGGGATGACGGTTTTTTTCTTCAGATAAATAACATATATATAATTTATAAATAAATTTTAAAATTAGTTTTAACACTTGCATAATAATTTGAAACTACGTTTTATTAACAAAACAGCGCCATCTATTATTAAATGGAAAAGTAGTATATTTTGCCTTCAGTTACATATTACATATAAATAAAATAATATTAATGAGTTACAATTAATTTGTATTTAAATTAATACATTAATAAAATAATTTAAAAATTCTAACGTTCATTTTTTTTAGTTTTTTCGTTACTTCATTTTAAAAGTGTAATAATCTAAATAGTCTATCAGAAGTATGAAAATAGATTTGGCTTATGTAAAGTGATTAAAACCGGTATGCCTGTAATTATAGCAAAATTTTGATCATCCTTATTATTTGATCAAAGAGATCTTTATTTATGGCTAGATCGTAAAACTGATCATATATCATAAAGTTCATGAAATGGTGTAATTTGTGAGATTTAACACTGTTTGTTGACCATATCATGATATAGCTTGACCAGTCAATGAATAGAGATCGTTTGACGAAACTAAACACGAGGCGACGTTGCAATTTCATGATAAAATAGTCATATCGTCAAATCGTATTTTTAATATATTTATGTACACAAGATACAGAAACAATCTTATAGTGAGTTTGTACAAAGGTTCTACTTATTCCATAATTTACAGAAATATGTTCCAGTTTATTACATATAGTATAAATGATATATATTAATTATAAGATACAAAAATATATCTAATACGTTTCTCAATTGCCAATAAAGTTAATAGTTTTCGCCGCTAGCGAAGATGGCGTATTTTTAACAGAACCAATTGCTTTATTTTAGAGTTGGGCCTATTAGTACTTTGGCCGATTGGTCGATTAGCCGATTAA